TATGTGCTCCTCGATGAACTTCTCCAGGTCCGGCTTGTCTCCTGGGAGACCCGCCAAGCTGGCCTTGTCCTTGCAGGCCATCGGAGGGTGCTCTTGCATAGCCACGTTGACCGCCAGGGGCCTGGGCGCCAGCCTGGCGAACTTGCCGAAAATGATCTCGGCGTAGGACTTGGCATTGGTGTTAGGGGGGCTGACCTGCTGCTCGGCGCTTTCCGACCGTGAGAAGTAGCCCGAGTCGGTGCTGCCCTTGCTGTGGGGGCTCAGCAGGTTGACGGACTGCTCACTATCCTGGCCTCGCTTCTCGTTCAGCCGTAGCGCCAACCTCTGCTTGATGGTGTGCGGCCCGCCGTACTTCCAAACCACACCAGGGGGGCTCGGGCAGGCTTCCGTCTTGATGTAGGCCTGAGAGGCCTCGGTCTGAGCCTGAAGGCCGCACTTGGGGACGATCAGGATGGGCACCTTGATGGGCCCGGCCGAGGGCTCCTCCCCCAGCACCTCGGAGTCCGAGCTGTATTTTTGAGCCGCCCTGAGGGAGCGGTGCGGGGCGGAAGCGCCACCCTCGGCCGCCTCCGGCTCCGGCGTGGCTGGCAGGGACAGCCTCTTGCCGGCGCAGATCTCCTCGTCCGTATCTGTGCTCTCATCGGCGTCGGAGTGCAGCCCAGCCTCCTCGCCGGTTCCCAGGGGCTCCGTGTCCGAGCGGCAGCTGGGCTCGGTCTCGGCTTCGGCAGACAGTAGGCCGGCCTTGATGGCGTGGGCGTGGGACTTGCGGTGTTTGTACAGGTTGCTCTTGGTCTTGAAGGAGAAGCCGCAGGGAGCACAGGGATAGGGCCTCTCCCCTGTGTGGGAGCGGATGTGCTTCTTGAGAACGCTGGGCTTGGCGCAGGCCCGCCCACAGTACTGGCAGATGTGTTTGCCCGGCTTCTTGGGTTTCTTGTCCCTGCGCAAGGCCTCGTCCCGGGGCCCGGGCACGGCCTGGGGGTAGTGGCGGTAACAGGCTGGGGTGGGGGCCTTGCCCAGCTGGCGAGGCCGGTGCTGGACGGGCAGGAAGACCTCAGGGGGTGCGGCCTCCAGGGGGCGGCTGAAAGGCCAGGGGTGCCCCTCCCCCCCGGCTCCTGGCTCCGGGGCTGGGTACCCCCGGGGGTCAGGCCGCCGCTGGAAATGGGGGAAGGGGCGGGGTGCGTAGTGGTGGTAGGGGCCGCTCAGGAGTTGCCGGGACTGGGCCTGGCGAGGAGCCTCGGCGGGAAGCTGGAGTTCATGGCAGTAGTAAGGCCCCGTCCCACCGACGGGGCCGGGGTGGGGGTCCGGAGCCAGCCTCTGACCCCCTCGTTCGGGGAAAGCGCCAGGCGGTAACCGGGGGGTGTCCCGTTGGACCGGGCCAGCGACACCGCCGCTGTCAGCTGCACTCAGCATCGCGCGTTTCGGCTCCATTTCCGGTCAGGACGGTCGCTAAGTGCCAGGGCTTCGCTGCTGAGGCTCCGTCAACTGCATCTAAAGCTTGGTTGGGTCTCCCGGTGCCGCCATCTGCCGATCACCGCTGGCATGGGCCCAAACAGCTGCTCCCTCTGAGGTCACTCACTGTGGGAGGGTGTCGCTGCAGAGGGATCGTTGCTCACAAGATTCTTCACGCAGCTTCCTCCGACGGGACTCAAGCTGTCCTCCTTGCTGCGTGCGCGGCTGGTCGACGGTACACCATCACTTTCAATCGTTCGGCCTTCTCCATTGTCAAACAGCCTGCCTTCTCAACGGGCACAGCAAGATGCCAGCTGCAGACACGCTCCTCCTCGCGCAGCCCCCCACCCCTTCACATTCCTTCGGGGGAGTTGCGGCGGTGGCGGGGGGGGGGGGGGGGGGGAAGGTGAAGCGCACCCAGATGTTGAAAGGTGGTGGGAATCCGTAAGCCGCTCGCTCTGCCACCCCCCACCAATACCAGATTTGCGACGTCCTTCAGTGTTTCCGCAAGGGTCGCTAGGTCAGCTTCCTGAAAGAAAAAAAAGAGGGGGGGGAAGCAAATAAAAAATACATGAATAAGAAGAAAGATCCCACAGAATATAGTGTCATTTAACACATTGATGTGAGGCCAACAGGCTCTTATGAGCATTCCGCTGTAGCTCAGTGGTAGCGCACTCACCTCAGTCTCAGAAGGTCCTCGGTTCGAGTCCCTGCCCAGGGGGAATAAGCAGAACAGGAGGGAAAAACAAACAGTCAGGTCATTCGGCCCCTCAATCTCCCTTCTTGTTCACTCATCTTTTTTGGAACTCTATCCACGTTTCGCAACAATGTGGGATTCTGCGCAAAACAGGAACCAAAAACAAACAGAAATGTAGATGACGGGAAAAGCGAAAGTGAAGTGGAAACTATCAAGAAGTGGGTCAGGCAGTCTCCAGAGTATACTCTGTTGGAGCAGCGTTCCATTCTGAAATGGCGGGTCTGTGGGGTGAAGCTGCGGATTTTACATAGAAACACAGGAGACGGGCACAAGCGTAGGCCAGCTGAGCCTGCTCGATATGATCATGGCCTACATGTGGGCCCATTATCATGAGTTTGAAATAATAATAACATTCACTTGTAGGGGGTGCCTTGTGACTAGAATATTCCTGGGCTCCTCTCCTCACTCCCTCTCTGCGAACTGAGGTCATGCCAAACTCCTGACCAAGGCCTAATCAGCTGTCCCTCCTGTAGTCTCTGAGTTACACTGGCTCCCAGTTAAGCAGCATCTTCATTTTAAAAGCCTTCATCAAATCTCTACAGCCTTACCATACTCTGTCCCCTGTAACCCCCTTGAATGCCACCACCTCTCTCTAGATGTGGCCATTTCAGCAACAGGTCCTCCTGATATTAAATTGCACCGCCATCGAAACAGGCAGGTTTTGGAACAACGCTTTTTTTAAAAAATCATTATGGGATGACAGCGTCACTGGCTAGGCCAGCAATTATTGCCAGAGGGGGTCTGGGTTGAGTACCAGGCTTGTAGGAATTCTCGTGGGCGTCTTTGGTTGGCTTTGTCCTAGGATGGTTATGTTGTCCCAGTCAAACTGGTGGCCTTCTTTGTCAGAGTTTCTATCAACTCCGTCAACAAACCTGTGGAAATAGGCCCCATATATCAATCGCTACAAAGCAGAACCGGAAACAAGGCCACCCACCACATCAGACCAGACCCACAGCAGGACAGACCAACAATGCTTCATCGGGGGAGCGCTGATGATGTTACCTGGTACGGTGACAAAATGTCTGCAAACCAACCGACCAGCTCGGAAAAACAAATCAACAACCCCATCCACAACACTGAGCTACAAGTCTTCTCAAAAACTCTAAAAACTCAACCACGTTGCCGTGGGCCTGGAATCACATGTAGGCCAGACCAGGTAAGGATGGCAGCTTCCTTATCTCAAGGACACTAGTGAACCAGATGGGTTTTTCCCAACAATCAATAATGCATTCACAGTCATCATAGGCTCTTAATTCCAGACTTTTATTGAATACAAATTCCACTACCTATGAGCCTGGGTCCCCAGTACGTTACCTGGGTCTCTGCATTAACACCCCAGTGATAATACCACTAGGCCATTACAAAACTTACGGGCTGGAAAAAGTTCAGTTTTGAAGAAGGGTCATACCAGACTTGAAACATTAACACTGTTTCTCCACAGATGGTGCCTAACCTGCTGAGTTTCTCCAGCAATTTCTGTTTGTGTTTCTGATTTCCAGTGCCTGCCTTATTTTGCTTTTCACCTGACATTTTTTCAGCCTCCTACACTTCAGCATAGGCCCTTTAAGAAAACAACGTAACGATGCATCTGGAATCAACCCTTAGCAGGAGGACCACTTTAAACACCTGCTAGTCTAACAAACATCTACCCAGAACCACCTCTTCATGATATTTTATCAACCCGAATAAACTATCTGCCTATTTGAAGGCTGAGATAGATTTCTAATCAGTTAGGTCATCAAAGGTGATGGGGGTAAGGCAGGAAAGTGAATATGAGGTTTGTCAGATCAACCATGTTGAATGGCAGAGCAAACTTGACGGACTGCATGGCCTACTTTTGCTCCTATATCATATAGTCTTAACACTGTGACATTTTTTGAAAAAAATAAAGTGTGGGTGACAACAGTTTCTTGACACATGCTCCACGGTAAAACCATGCCCAATGTACAGGGGTAGCATGGTGGTTAGCACTGCTGCCTCATGGCGCCAGGGACCCGGGTTCGATTCCACCCTCGGGCGACTGTCTGTGTGGAGTTTGTCCATTCTCCCCGTGTCTGTGTGGGTTTCCTCTGGGTGCTCCGGTTTCCTCCCAAAGATGTGCAGGTTACAGTGGATTTGGCCGTGCTAAACTGCCCCATAGTGAGCAGGTTAGATGGATCAGCCATGGGAAATGCAGGCATAGGGTTAGTGTGGGCTCAATGACCTGTTTCCAAGCTGTAGGAATTCTATGAATTAGATTCAACTGTCAAACAAATCAGCACCATTTTCCCATGCAGTGTAAATTATTGTTCCATGTGAAATTCAGTGTTTTTGTGATTCTGTCCTAACAAACGCAAGATAAAAACCTTCATTTTTATAGCTGTATGACCATGGAAGTACGTAAATAGGTTTCATTAGTTTAGGACTGGGTTTGGCACTTATCGTAATCCTGGAACCTCCATATTGCTGAGCAAGAAGTAATGAATGGATGGATTACACTCCAGCTCTAGGACCCAGGCACACATCCATTCCAGCACGAACCCCAGCCTTGTTTTATTTGGATGGATGGTAACTTTAGAACATAGGAACAGGAATAGTCCATTCAGACCCTTCAGTGTGGTCAAGATGGCCCGAAAGCTCTGTTTCCATGCTGTATGACTCTATGAGCCTGTTCTACCATTCAATATGGCTATGCTTGATGTGTGGCCTAACTCCATATACCTGCCTTTGGTCCATATCCCTTAATACCTTTGCTTTATAAAAATGTATCCACCTCAGCTTTAAAATTAACAACTGACCCAACATCCACTGCCGTTTGCAGAAGAGAGTTCCAAACCTCAACCACCCTTTGTGTACGCTTCCTACATTTCTCCTGAATGGTCTGACCCTCATTCTCAGACCATGCCCTCTAATCCAGAGGAAATAGTTTGTCTTGTATCTACGCTGTCTTTTCCTGTCAATACCTTGGAGACTTAGTCTGGGGGCTGTTCAAGCGAATTCCCAACGGCCACACAGCAACAACACAGAATTAATTACCATCTGATAGACACGTCACTCGTAGGATAGTTCCTGGATAATACGAGTGTGTCTTGGTAGAAGGCGCTGTATTGAGATTGGGGCTGAGATGACACAGCAGGAGGTTATATATCCTGCACCTAAGCATATAGCTGTCAAAACAGTAAATCTTCCCAGCAATGCTAATGTTAACATTCCTCATCGTGTCGAGTTCATAAGGCACAAACAAATATCACATTAGAGCCACCCATTACCTAGTTTTCCGTCAAGTTCCACTTCTGTGTGCTAATTCCAATTCTCCCTTATCATGGCATCAGGTTTCTCTGGAAAGGATTAAACATAGAGCCTGTAAGAACATGCTTTATAATCGTGACTCGGTTTATGAGGCTTAACACAATAGTTATAGACAGACAGGCACCTATGTTCTTGTTGTATGATGAATAATTAAACCACAGATTTCCAGATAAATGCTGAACTAAAATCTCATACACAAGGAAATTTGCAATTAACCTTCCTTTGAGAAAAGAAATCTATATCATTAGCAGCGTTTCTGGTGAAGATATCTCATAACATACAACAGTCACTCAGTTCATGAGAGGGACTTGGGATTTGGAGAAGGTGATGGGGGAAGAAATAGTGGAATTCCAGAACTTTGGACCTCAGCTATGAAAGGCACGGATGCCAACAGTGATAGATGGAGGGGATGGGCAAGAGATCAGAACTTGAGGAGCAGCACAGAAATCCCGGAGCAATGTAGGACTGCAAGAGGTTACCGAGAAAGACTTAATGCTTCTCTCCCTCTTCGACAGAATATTTTCTAATCTTAAATCATGCAGCACTCATTTCAGAGATAGTAGGAACTGCAGATGCTGGAGAATCTGAGATAACAAGGTGTAGAGCTGGATGAACACAGCAGGCCAAGCAGCATCAGAGGAGCAGGAAAGCTGACCCC